TTCTAAGATATATATTAAAATATGCACGCATTAAGATTTGACCTGATAAATGAAAAACGATGCTTTATTATGTGAGAGTTAATAATCTTATAATAATTATGAATAGGAATCATATTAATTCTTACACAAAAATGCTGAAATTTGAGGAGATACAGCATAAGAAAAAAACATGGATTTGGGATCAGAAAGTTTTTGGTTTCTTCTGCTTGGTGGCTGAGATGTTTGAATAAGTTGCTGTAACTTACTAAATTTCAGTGTCTATACAGAGGGGATAATAGCACTTACTTTTTAGAGTTTTGGGAGGATTATAAAACAACTAATGAATATTGCCTGGCATGTGGTAAACCAAAAACACCTGTTCTTTTCCCTTTTTGTATTGTTCTGAGATTAACACAATCCTACTATATCTCGTAGTCACCTTAGAATACAGACAGAATATAAAGCCTCAAAATCTCACAGATAGGATATAGTATATTGGAATCATCGAACATAAAATTTAAAAGTGAACCTGGTGAATATTTAAACTCTACTAACTGATACATCCAGGCTTCTGACATGTCCCTGGTAAGAAAGTTGCTAGGTAATTTCTGTAGTACTAGGGCCTTACTACTGTAGATCAGAGAGGTCTTTCCTTTGAGGCAATTTTAATTGTCAGAAAGTTCTTAATATTGAACTGAAATCTCCTCCTGGCAATTTTCCTTCAATGGTTATAGTTCTAGATGCTGATCATCTTCACATCACAGCCTTTGTGTATGTTAAGTCTGCTGCCTTAGAACAGTACCTGACCAATGGTAGGCACTCAGCAAATGTTTCCTCAGTGAATGAATGAGTAGATGAATGGGACAGGAAATGAGAACCATTTAACAGTGTTAGTGCTTTACTGTCTATACTGAGAACATTAGCACAATTTCTTTTGCACAAAATGGTAATATATTGTATCAGTCATGGCACAATAAAGACAGCAGAATCATTATGAGTTTTATAGAATAAGAGATTTATCATAGGAATAAGGCCTTATACCATTATGGATGGGGTTGCAGAAGTATGGTTTACAAGGAGGGGTTGGAGGATCAGAGAAATGTCTATAACCTGCCTTCTGAAATGCTAGTGCAAATGGACAAGGGCAGAGTTCACAAAGGAATATGGGGAGGCAGGGACATCAACTGAGGAGTTAAAATGGGAAGAAGACTGGGAAGCCTGTTGTTGCCTCTGCATCTGGTTATGGGCCTGGAAAGACTGTTGGCCCTTGTGTTTGGGCTCTTCAGAGAAAAAGAGAACCAGTAGGATCTATCTGCCTATCTTTCTCTCTCTCTCTCTCTCTCTCTCTCTCTCTCTTTCTCTCTCTCACTCTCCATCATCTATCTATCTATCTATCATCTATCTATCCTCTCTATCCATCTACCCATCTTTCTTTCTATCTATGGAATTGACTCACGTGATTATGAAGGCTGGGAACTCTAAAATCTGCAGGGGGACTGGCAAGCCTGAGACCCTGGAGAGTTGATGGTGCAGATGAAGGCTGAAGGCAGTCTGTTGGAGAATTTCCTCTTGCTCAGGGAGGCTGATCTTTTTGTTCTGCTCAGGCCTTTACCGTATTGGATGAGGCCAACCCACATTATGGAAGACAATCTACTTTACCTAAAGTTCACCGATTTAAATGTTAGTCTCGTCTCAAAAATGCCCTCTGAGTTGACACGTAAAATTGCCTGTCACAGTCAGCAAAGCTTGCAGTCAGGAAGAAGAGCTAGATACAGAGGAGGGAAAGCATGAATGAGGGCTGGAATCTGCCAGCACTTCTGCTCTATCTCTTGTTGTGCTAACAATGATGGTCTTTGAAGAGTCAATGGTTACCATTCACTTCTGCCTTCCAAATCTTGCTCAGATTTGCCAGAAGATAATTCTGGGAATCATAGAGCTAGCAGACCAGTTGGCATGCATAAAACTACATAGTAGGCTGGGTGCGGTGGTTCACGTCTCTAATCCCAGCCCTTTGGGAGGCCAAGGCGGGCGGACCACGAGGTCAGAAGATCAAGAACATCTTGGCCTACATGGTAAAACCTCGTCTCTACCAAAATACAAAAATTAACTGAGCGTGGTGGCGCCTGCCTGTAGTCCTAGCTACTCAGAAGGCTGAGACAGGAGAATTGCTTGAACTCAGGAGCCGGAGGTTGCAGGGAGCCAAGATCGCACCACTGCACTCCAGCCTGGTGCAAAAACAAAAACAAAAAAACCTACAAAAACAAACGAACAAACAAACAACTACATAGTCAACCCATTGTTAACTTGGCACCATATATACCTTTTTAACCTATATTTAACTTTCTAACATGATGCAAGACACTCCCCAAACAATCTAACACCTGCTAACTTTCTTGCCATAAAAGGATACAAAGTTTCATGTGTCATATAGTCCATCTCTGGGTGATGTTATCCTTCAAGCGGCATCACACTATTCCTTTGATATTTTGTAACCTGAATACTGAGATATAAGACTAACCACTTATTAACACATCTGATGATAGACACTAGCTCAATGGGAGAAGGGGAGGAAAGGAACATAATTGGTTATTATATACACAAATATTCATACGAAAGTAAGAAAAGCAACAGCCAAAATTACTAGTCTTTTTTTTTTTTTTTTTTAAGACAGAGTCTAACTCTGTCACCAGGCTGGAGTGCAGTGGTATGATCTTGGCTCACTGCCATCTCCGCATCCCGGGTTCAAGTGATTCTTTTGCCTCAGCCTCCTGAGTAGATGGTACTACAGGCTTGCACCACCACACCCAGCTAATTTTTGTATTTTTAGTAGAGACAGGGTTTCACTACGTTGGCCAGGATCATCTTGGTTTCTTGATCTTGTGATCCGCCCACCTCAGCCTCCCAAAGTGCTGGGATTACAGGTGTGAGCCACCGCGCCATACCTTCAGTCTTTGTTTTTCCAACTAGACAGGCTTAACTAGTGTTATCCCAGCACTTTGGGAGGCTGAGGCAGGCTGATCACAAGGTCAGAAGATTGAGACCATCCTGGCCAACATGGTGAAACCCCGTCTCTACTAAAAATACAAAAATTAACTGGGCATGGTGGTGCGTGCCTGTAATCCCAGCTACTCGGGAGGCTGAGACAGGAGAATCGCTTGAACCAGGAAGTTGGAGGTTGTGGTGAGCCGAGATTGCACCACTGCACTCCAGCCTGGCAACAGAACGAGACTCTTTCTCAACAATAACAACAACAAAAACAACAACAATGAATAGCTGTACTTCTTCCATGGCTGTGCAGAGCTCCTAGCAGCAACAAAGCAGGGATGCCAGCCCTTTTAAAGGCTCTGTCCCAGAGCTGCAAAGCGTCACCTCCATGGAATGCTAGTGTTTGTTAAATAACCTAGTTTATTCAGCATCAATTGAAGGGGCAAGAGCTACACCAGGGCATGAATTTTGGGAGGCATGATTCTTTGAGAACTTCTGCAGCTGACTAGTATATGTACTTTTGGAATTTTTTAAAAGAAAATTTTGTTGCCTACATAAAAATCATAGCGTAATAGCTCTATGACCTGTACTTTACAGACAGAGGGATAATGTTTATAGCAATATTCAGGTTTCTTCTAACATAATAGAAATACACTGATAGCGGTAGCTGTTGAGTGAAAGATGAATTAATTCTCTTGTTTCTCTGTTGGAAATACCACTGGAATAGTAAATAAATGCCCGCAGCCGTGGTCAACATATTTTTCCTTCAGTGTTCATTGGCTGTTATCAAACCTTTAGAGTAAACTTGTTCAGCAAGTTTATTGGGCACTGCTGGGTGCCCCAAATAGCTAGTTGGTATTTAAAAATCTGATCTCATGTGCTTTTCTTTCTCTTCATCACTTGTGACCCTGTAGCTCTTTGGTCATTTAAATTAAGCCACAAGTCTCAGGCTGTCAATGAAGGGAAGACCAAAAAGAACACAGCGTGAACAAATAGTCAAATTCTTGGCTTTGTTTGTTTGTTTATTTGTTTGTTTTGAGACGGAGTCTTGCTCTGTCACCAGGCTGTAGTGCAGTGCAGTGGTGCGATCTTGGCTCACTGCAACCTCTGTCTCCCAGGTTCAAGTGATTCCCCTGCCTCAGCCTCCTGAGTAGCTGGGATTACAAGTGCATGCCACCACGCCCAGCTAATTTTTGTATTTTTAGTAGAGACAGGGTTTCATCATGTTGGCCAGGATGGTCTCAATCTCCTGATGTCATGATCCGCCCACGTAGGTCTCCCAAAGTGCTGGGATTACAGGCTTGAGCCACCGCGCCTGGCCGGAACTCATATCTTAAACAACAGAGTAGAAGATGTGAGATGACCAAGAGCAGTTTCCTTCCAAAAAGACTAAGTACAACCACTTTGGAAAACCATTTGGCAGTTTCTAATAAAGCGAAACTTACATCTACCCTTTGACCCAGCAAGTTTATTCCTTATCTAGGGACTCCCAGTGCTGGTAGATCAATGTACCCAAGAGAAATAAAAATATATGTCCAAACATATTTGTATATAAACATTCATTGCAATTTTATTCATGGTAGTAAAAAAATTGGGAATAATCCAAACATCTGTTAGGTGTCTAGATAAACATCTGTAATTTTTTCATACGGATTTTAAAGATGTGACTTACTTAACAGAAGAGAAGGTATATGAAATTCTTGAATTAAGCAGAAAAAGAAGATTATTCCCCTTTAATCGGAGTTATTGAGAGAGTTTTTTCTAATGCGGAGGCGTTGGTACAGAGCTTCTAGAAAGTTACACGGCATACCAAGGAAGAACTGAAATCTCTTCAAGCAAAGGATGAAGGCAGGGATGAAGATGAAAAGGAAAAATCTGCATGTTCTCCTACTGCTATGGAAGAAGACTCAGAAGCATCTTCAAAGGTGGGCGATAGCTCACAGGGAGACAACAGTTTGCAGACATTAGGCCGTGATGATGTGTCTGTGGATGTTGATGCCATTAGAAGGGTCTACACCAGATTGCTCTCTAATGAAAAAATGGAAACTGCCTTTCTCAATGCACTCATATATTTGTTACCTAACGTGGAATGTGACTTGATGTATCACAACGTATGCTCTTGAGATCCTAATTATCTGCATTTGTTCATTAGCGTAATGGAGAATAGAAATCTCCACAGTCCTGAATATCTGGAAATGGCTTTGCCATTATTTTGCAAAGCAATGAGAAAGCTACCCCTTGTAGCCCAAGGAAAACTGATGAGACTGTGGTCTAAATACAATGCAGACCAGATTCGGAGAATGATGGAGACATTTCAGCAATTTATTATTTATAAAGTCATGAGCAATGAATTTAACAGTTGAAATCTAGTGAACGATGATGATGCCATTATTGCTGCTTCCAAGTGCTTGAAAATGGTTTACTATACAAATGTAGTGGGAGGGGAAGTGGACACAAATCACACTGAAGAAGATGATAAAGAGCCCATCCCTGAGTCCAGTGAGCTGACACTTCAGGAACTTTTGGGAAAAGAAGGAAGAAACAAGAAAGGTTCTTGAGACCCCCTGGAAACTGAACTTGGTGTTAAAACATTGGATTGTCAAAAACCACTTATCCTCTTTTGAAGAGTTTATTCATGAACCACGGCATGAGGTTCTAGAAATGGGTAAAGATTATGCTTTTTTTAAAAGTAGAAACAAATTCTCTTTTATGATATGTCCCTTTATATTGTATGCTGTCACAAAGAATTTGGAATTGTATTATGACAATAGAATTTGCATGTACAGTGAATGAAGAATCACTGTTCTCTCCAGCTTTGCTCAAGGACAGCAGTTGAATCCATATTTGAGACTCAAAGTTAGACGTGACCATATCATAGATGATGCACTTGCCCGGCTAGAGATGATTACTGCGGAAAATCCTGCAGACTTGAAGAAGAAGTTGTTTGTGGAATTTGAAGGAGAACAAGGAGTTGATGAGGGAGGTGTTTCCAAAGAATTTTTTCAGTTGGTTGTGGAGGAAATCTGCAATCCAGATATTGGTATGTTCACATAAGAAGAATCTACAAAATTGTTTTGGTTTAATCCATCTACTTTTGAAACTGAGGGTCAGTTTATGCTGATTGGCATAGTACCAAGTCTGGCTATTTACAATAACTGTATACTGGATGTACATTTTCCCATGATTGTCTACAGAAAGCTAATGGGAAAAAAAGGGAACTTTTTGTGACTTGGTAGATTCTTACCAAGTTTCATATCAGAGTTTAAAAGATTTCTTGGAGTATGAAGGGAGTATGGACGATGACATGATGATCATTTTCCAGATATCACAGACAGATCTTTTTGGTAACCCAGTGATGTATGATCTAAAGGAAAATGGTGATAAAATTCCAATTACAAATGAAAACAGGAAGGAATTTGTCAGTCTTTATTCTGACTACATTCTCAATAAATCAGTAGAAAAACAGTTCAAGGCTCTTCGGAGAGGTTTTCATATGGTGACCAGTGAATCTCCCTTAAAGTACTTATTCAGAACAGAAGACATTGAATTGCTTATATGTGGAAGCCAGAATCTAGATTTCAAAGCACTAGAAGAAACCACAGAATATGATGGTGGCTATACCAGGGACTCTGTTCTGATTCAGGAGCTCTGGGAAATCGTTCATTCATTTACAGATGAACAGAAAAGACTCTTCTTGCAGTTTACAATGGGCACAAACAGAGCATCTGTGGGAGGACTAGGAAAATTAAAGATGATTATAGCCAAAAATGGCCCAGACACAGAAAGGTTACCTACATCTCATAGTTGCTTTAATGTGCTTTTACTTCCAGAATATTCAAGCAAAGAAAAACTTAAAGAGAGATTGTTGAAGGCCATCATGCATGCTAAAGGATTTGGCATGCTATAAAACAAAACAAAACAAATAAAAAAGGGAAGAAAGAAACAAAGAAAAAATTTTAAACATTCTAGAAATATAACAAGAGGGATAAATTTTTGGTTGTGATAGTGTTCCAGTACAAAAATGCTGTAAGACAGTGAACCACAGAGTCATCTATATCTGTGCCTCCCTTCTTTACTGGGGACATGTGGGCTGGAACGGCAGATTTCAGCTACATATATGAACAAATATATTATTATTATACTTATTTTTTGCATGAAAGTGTTGCATATTCTTTCACTTGTATGTATAAAGAGGTTTTTCTGAATATTTATTTTATCACTTTTGCTTGTGTTTATTACTGCTTGAGACTGAGCCTTTTGAGTATGTGAAAAATATATGCTAACAGAACTACTTTCCCAAGGAAAATATTACCACCATTTGTAGATCATGTTACATTCAAGTATGTGCTACTTTTCTGTCCCTGGATCTAACTCAAATCAGGAACTGTATTTTTTTTTTTATGATTTGCTTTTGAAACTTGAAGGCTTGAAAACAGTGTGAGGCAATTACTGCTGTTCTAGACCCTAAAGAGTTTTCTGTGCAAAATCTTGTGAATCAATAAAGATGGAAGGGAGAAATTGGAAAAAAATTCATACAATGCAATATAATGGAACAAATTACTAACAGTGCCACATGCATGCATCTCAGAAACATGATGCTGAGTGAATAAAGCCAGACCCCAAATAGCATGCACTGCATGATTTCATTTATATGAAATTCTGGCGCACACAAAGCTAACCTGTGATGACAGAAATCAGAAAAGTGTTTGCCTAGGAGTAGTAATTGACTGGGGAGAAGCATAAGAAAAATTTGAGAGTGATAGAGTATTCCATATCTTGGTAAGACTATAGGTTACAACAGTGTATACATTTGTTAAAACTAATTGAATTGTTCATACACTTTATGTAAATTATACCTTAGTGAAAGAAAGGAGATAAAAGTTGATCCAGCTGGAGCAAGGGGATTTGGGATGATTTGGATGCTGGTGTGTTCTGAAGATACCTCTCTCCCTGGCCTTGCAGACCACACTTTGTTCCTCTTGACCCAAGAATGTCCAGCATGGCGTCTGAGACTGCATGGCTAAAGTGTCCAGGTAATGAGCTGAGAGAGTCTCACACAGTTTAGATGATATGGTTTGGCTGTGTCCCCACCCAAATCTCATCTTGAACTTTCTAGATATCCTCATATGCTGTGGGAGGGACCTGGTGGGAGGTAACTGAATGATGGGGGTGGGTTTTTTCTCATGCTGTTCTCGTAATAGTGAATAAGACTTATGAGATCTGATGGTCTTATAAAGGACAATTCTTTTGCACACACTTTCTTGCCTGCTGCCATGTAAGACATTCCTTTGTTCCTCCTTTGCCTTCTGCCTTGATTGTGAAGCCTCCCCAGCCATGGGGAACTGTGAGTCCATTAGACCTCTTTTTCCTTATAAATTACCCAGTCTCTGGTATTTCTTCATAGCAGGATGAAAATGGACTAATACACTAGACCTCACTGTGCATGAGGCAGAGCAGAGAAAAGTCACTTAGATTTTCCCAGCACCTTCATTCTATGTCCTGTTTTTCTATTGGAGGTGAGTTGCAGCATTCTGGGACAGAGCTAATGAACCTAAGGCAAACTTGATTGGGTCTGGAGGAAGTCAGTTGTGGATGCCATCTCCAGTTGCCTCTTATACCTGGTGCCAGGACAATGCAACCCACGCACCAATAAATATCATTCCCAAGGAGAAAGAAGCTGAGGAACAGAGGCTTGAATTGACTGAGTTTGATATTCAGTCGTTACATTTTAAAATGGTAGCAAATTGAGTTGAACTTGAATGACAAGATTAGGTGTTTCAATCGTCAAAGAAAAATGAGTTCTCAAGAGCCAAGTTGATTTTAGTTAAAGTTTTCTCACCCTCAGTAGATGCTCAGAGCCATTTACAAGAATCCTCCTCTCTCCTTCCCTCTCTCAAATAAACATCAGTAACTTAAGGCTATAATTCTGAGAGGAAACACAGCACCTACATTGGTCATGTGAGCTCAGCTGAGGTGGCAGGGAAGAACTACAAACATGAAATTGATAGAATTACAAAAATTAAAATGCAGTGACATTTAAAAATATGAAACTACCCATGAAAAATAATTTTTGCAGTTATAGAACAAAAGATATTTTTTTTCAAGGATGAATGACATCTAGAAAAAAGCACTGACAATTTAAAAATGAAAACTAAAAACTACTTTGTTAGCAACATTTTATAGGTTTTTTTTTTTTTTTTTAAAAAGCGGACTTAAACATGTTTTTATTTGACACTCTGATAATTTCAATTATTTGCTCCAGTGGGCAATTCATTAGGTAACTTTGAATGAATTTTCAGTACGGAAGCCTTCACTTATGGAAAAACAGCCTTTTATGTAGGGCATGGTAAAACCTCAGTTACTGATCTATATGAACAATTAAAGTTATTTAGAGCATGTTAGCTAATGACATGGAAAAGCAGAAATCCTAGCTGCTGAGTTAGAGGAGGGTCTCTTGTTGTGATTGTGTTTCTTAGTCCAATTCATGCATCCCTCTGAGTTTCTCTAACTGAATCCATTTATTATTTTTCCGAATTGAACTAGTTTTCTAATGATAATTTCTTATGAGTGTTTGAATCACCTTTCAGGCAAAATGCAGTGAATCATGATGTTTTAAGTACCCCAAGAATACGAATTTTCTAGAAAGTGGAGAAGCTGTATGGTTCGGGGATAATATGGTTTGGCCGTGTCTCCACCCAAATCTCATCTTGAATTGTAGCTTCCATAATTCCCATGTGTCATGAGAGGGACCTGGTGGGAGGTGATTAAATCATGGGGGTGGGTCTGTCCCATGCTGTTCTTGTGATAGTGAAAAAGGGTCATGAGATCTGATGGTTTTATGAAGAGGAGTTTCCCTGCACAAACCCTCTTTGCCTCCGTCTGTCCATGTAAGATGTGCTTTTGCTCCCTCTTGCCTTCCATGTTTGTGAGGCCTCCCTAGCCATGTGGAACTGTGAGTCCATTAAGCCTTTTTTTCTTTATAAATTACCCAGTGTGTCTTTATTAGCAGCATGAGAATGAACTAATACAAGGGACATTTAGGCACTGACAACCCTCACACCCTGGAGGAGAATGGAGCCTTGCTAGTGCTAACTTGGGTTCAAGAAGCAGGAGAGCTTGATATTTGTAAAAATTTTGTTAAAGGGTAGCACACAGATCTTAATGTACCTCATTTATTTTAATGTAAATGCTTCCGAATGATGATATATCAGCCATGTATATTAAAAGGGCAGTGGCTTGGCAGTTTTCCACCAAGACCTTACCTTGAGCCAAAAAAGTCAATGGTGGCTGCATGTCCTCCATTAAACATTTTGAGGGTGAAGAATTTCACATCAGTTTCTGCCCTGCATGGCCACTATGCTTTTAATAGGGTTTGTGACCTTGCTGAAGTAGTGTAGGAATAGAATGTAATCTCACAGTGGAGTGTGAATTTGTGGTTACTCCCCATCAATGTATATAGCCCACCAGAATAATCTATAAAATTTTGGGAAGAAACTTAATTTTCCTTTGCAGAAAGAAGCCTTTTTAAGAATAGGTAGGTTTTATGCTTTTGGGGCTAAATGTTCAACATGATCCAAGGATGTTGGGTATCTCTGAGAGTAACTTGTTGTTTCATGGTTGGCTCAACTCCAGTAGCGCAAAGAGACTTTCAATTTAGTGGGAGAAATTCTTTTGAGATCAAGAAGGAAGAACTGATATAAATATCATGATGATGAACTGAATTGTGTCCCTTCAAAATTTGTATGTTGAAGCCTTAACCTCCATTGTGATTGTATTTAGAGATTAGGTTTTTAGGAGGCAATTAAGTTTAGGCGAGGTCATAAGGGTGGGGCCCTAAGCTTATAGGATTAGTGTCCTTATAAGAAGAGAGAGAGAGAGAGACTGGCTGGGAGTTATGATTTATGCCTATAATCCTAGCACTTTGGGAAGCTGAGGTGGGCAGATTGCCTGAGCTTAGGAGTTAGAGACCAGCCTGGACAACATGATGAAATCCTGCCTCTACTAAAATACAAAAAATTAGATGGGCATGGTGGTGCATGCTTATAGTCCCAGCTACTCGGGAGGCTGAGGCAGGAGAATTGCTTGAACTCTGGAGGCAGAGGTTGTAGTGAACTGAGATTGTGCCACTGCACTCCAGCCTGGGCGACAGGCTAAGATCCTGTCTCAAAGAAAAAGAAGGTGGCTATCTGCAAGCCAAGAGAAGAGGCCTCAGAATGAGACATACCTTGCTGGCACCTTAATTTTGGACTTCTCAGCCTCTAGGATGGTGATAAATTTCTGTTGTCTAAGCTACCCAGTCTGTGGCATTTTGTTATGGCAACCTAAGCAGACTAATACAATTACTGAGCACCAACTTAAATACTTCTTGAGTCTCACAAGCTATATATGCTTGCTGGGTTAAATTTATTGAGTCAGATGTTTTATACACACACACACACACACACACACACACACACACACACACACCATACCAGTATTCACCTTTAGAAGTGGGGATGGTGTGGGCATGATGGCATGCATCTGTAGTCTCAGCTACTCAGGAGGCTGAAGCTGGAGAATTGCTTGAACCTGGAAGGCGGAGGTTGTAGTGAGCTGAGATGGTGCCACTGCACTCCAGCCTGGGCAACAGAGCGAGACTATGTCTCAAAAAAAAAAAAAAAAAGAAGTGGGCATGGTGGGTTAAACCACACCAAAGTTCTGGGGTGCTATCAGAGTGTTCCACAGTCATTGGCCAGGTTACCTGATTTCATCCTCTAGTGACATCCCACAGTAAAGTTACACAGGCCTATACATTATTCAAATCCCTGACAAAATAATGTATTTCTCTTTAGTTCATAGATTTCTTAACCTTGGGTTACAGGTAGACTTCATGGTTTTATAAATTTTGTAAAATTTTATGCTAAATATATCTATGTGCATTTTCAGAGGAGAGGATTCATTACTTTAAACAGATTCTCCAGTAATTCCAGACTCTAAGGTTAAGACCCATGACTTCAGACCAAGGTGTGGTGGAGATCTTTTTTTTTCCTCCCTGAGACTCAGTCTTGCTCTGTTGCCCAGGCTAGAGTGCAGTGGCTCAATCTAGGTTCACTGCAACCTCTGCCTCCCAGCTTCAAGCAATTCTCCTTCCTCAGCCTCCTGAGTAGCTGGGATTACAGGTGCCCGCCACCATGCCTGACTAATTTTTGTATTTTTAATAGAGACAGCTTTCACCATGTTGGTCCGGCTGGTCCTGAACTCCTGACCTTGTGATCCACCTACCTTGGCCTCCCAAAGTGCTGGGATTATGGGTGTGAGCCACCGTGCCAGGCTGGAGATCTTATAAATAGTGAAGAGTAGCTCCCGGTTAAAGTCCTGGGCATGATCTCTCAGGTCTGACCAAAGGCATTTGCAAGGCTTTTCCTGGCCAGTCTCATTGGAGAAAGCTGCCTCCCCACATCGCAATCTCTGGAGGAGGGAGATGAAGTCAAGGATTCAGGTCCCCCCACCCTTATTGCTCATATGCTTATAGATAGCTGCATTCATAGCCCAGGCACCTCCATTCGGGGTCTTAATCTGTAGCCCTGAAGGGTGGGGGCCACTTTTCAGGTATGTCCACCAAGATGTTCCTTATAGGGGGACCTTGACTAAGACCCTTCTCTTCATTGGGTGCTCTGGCCCAGTACTTTTTAACCCTAGTTCTTCACCCTCCCTCCTTTTTCTTTTTCTTTGTCTCTTGCCTTCACTCTCACGGTAAATTAATGAAAGCCTGGTTGCTTCTTCCAGTTTGACTTGTTGTCCGACTTGATCATTTTGGGATCTGGCAGCTCAACAGGAACCGAGGAACTTTAAGAGGTCTCTCCTCCTCTGGAAGGCACACTAAAATAACCATTTAAGGGAGATCTTTACAGAAGAATGTGAATATCTCAAAGACATGGTTAATTCCAAGGAGCCTCAAAACGACTCATGTTCTTAATAATTCATGTGGATTCTTCTTTACCAGGTCAGTAATCTAATTTTAGTTCTATTTGGCATTGGGAAACTGGTGAGCATACTCCATCAAATTCTGGCTTTTTATTCCAAATGTTCCACCAGGGTCACCTGTGGCCTCTGGTGTTAGACTATCCATCTATAATTATAGCACAAAATTGCTCATTAGAATGGATCCCAGGCTCACACAATAGGCTCAGAGAACAGCCACACCTGCCCCACGTTAGGAACCCTCACCCATGCATTTGTGCACACACTCAGGCGTATACGCGTTTATTTCTCCCAGTAATTTTTATGAATCTATTTGGCATTTTGCAATTCTCTTGGAACCAAGGTCTGACTACTTTTATGTGACTGAGTTGGACTGGAAGGGGAGGGCAGGGCATTGACGTGTGTTGAGCAATGACCTTTAAGAACTATGAAAGGTGCTTTTGTAAACCTTATCTCCTGCGATGCTTCCGTGAGGGTCATTTTGTAGAAGAGGATATGTATTCACAGGTTAAGTAACGTGCCCAAGGGGGCAGGTGGTGGCCTTGGGATATGATTGCAAAGTCTGTGTCCTTCACCCTCACCGCAGCATTTCCCTGGACCGGGGTCTGCTTTGCCCAACTCACCATTGTCTACTGAAGACATCCATGATGTAATAAGACTATTACATTAACGTTTGTATTAGTCTGTTCAGGCTGTGCTAATAAAACACCGTAGACTGGGTGGCTTAAGCAACGGAAATTTCTTTTCTCACAGTTCAGGAGGCTGGAACCCCAAAATCAAAGCCAGGAGGATTCTTGTTTGCATGGGGCCTCTCTCCTTGGCTCGCAGCTGGCCACTGCCTTGCTGTGAACTCGCGTGGTCTTCTCTCTGTGTGCGCACATTCCTAGCGTCTCTCGTGTGCCCAAATATCGTCTTTTTATATGAACTTCACTTAGATTTTGTTAGGTCCCACCCTACCAACCACATTTAACCTAAGCATCTCTTTCAAGGCCCTATCTCCAGATACAATCACATTCTTGGGTCCTGGAGGTTAGGGCTTCAACATACGAATTTGGGAAGGCCACAATTCAGCCCATAACAATGTTCTTATGTCCAGAGTTGGGCTGTGGGCTGTGTAGGACCCAGTATCATCCTTAGGGCACAGTGGGACCCAACAAAAATCACAAATTCCCGTCTCCTTGCCTACAAGCCTTCCATGCTGGGAAATTTTATTAAAATTGACAAACAGGCTGGGTGTGTTGGCTCACGCCTATAATCCTAGCACTTTGGGAGACTGTGGCAGCCAGATCGCTTGAGCTTAGGAGTTTGAGACCAGCCTGGGCAACAAGGCAAGACCCCACGTTTATAAAAAATACAAAAATTAGCCAGGCACGGTGGTGGGTGCCTGTAGTCTCAGCTACTTGGGAGGCTGAGGCAGGAGAATTGCTTGGGCCTGGGAGGTCAAGGCTGCAGTAAGCCAAGATTGCACCACTGCACTCCAACCTGGGTGGCAGAGTGAGACTCTATCTCAAGTCAACAAAAGAAAAATTGGTAGAGAAGGTACACTGTGAGAGGAAGAGTAAGTGGCAGCTGATGGAACCACTTCCTCTTTCCCCCATCCTTCCACTGCCTCTCTCAGATGCTTACTCAAGGGTTACTCCTTCAGTCATTTAGTCCATCATCGTTTATCAGGTCCCCTACTGTGGCAAGGCTGTGTGAGGGGCTGAGCATATACCAGCAATCCCTGATTGCAAGGAGCCCCCACTTCCTGTGGGAGAGCTGGAGGATAAGGAACACACAAAGTACCCTCTGGGAGAAGAACCGTGAGTGGTGGGCGCGGGACTTGTTCGAGGATGGGTGGTCGGGTATGCCTTGTTGAGGTGATGACCTTCAGGCTGAGACCTGAGCAAGTGAGAAGCAGCAGCCTCTTGGAAAGTCGATGGAAGAGTTTCCAGACAGAAGGAATAGTATGTGCAAAGTCTTTTGGGAAGAAAGGAATGTTGGGGACGCTGAGAAGAGACCTGGGTGGCTAGAGATGAGTGAGGGAGATGGGAAAGGGAGAGCAGCCTACGGTGAGGGTGGAGGAAAAAGCAGGGGAGGATGCCTGGAGATTGTAGGCTGTGGCAAGAGGACCTCAAAGGGAGAGCTACAACCCTTCTACAAAGGCCATTCGAGAGCTGAGCTTCAGGCGGAGCTGAGGCTTTCTAGGGCAGATTAGACCTCGCTTGTGTGATCATACTTGAGGGACGTATTGAAGGACGTCCTTATCCAGAAACTCTAGCTCTCACAAGTACAACCCTTAGTGTCTGTTGGTAGTGCCTGTCGTTCCTATCACTAAAGAATCCTTTTTTTAAGTACCTTTGCTTTGTCTAGGAAGAGACTCCTGCTGAAGTACAGATAACCCTGGCAGCATATCCCAGGACACTGACAGCACGAACTAGTTTATCAGATCATCCCACCTTGAGAGCTAGAGAGGAGCAGCTTGTTGGAGAATGAGGTATGCTTTCGGCTCTGCCCGTACTATTTCCAGCTCTGAAATTGCCTCCTGTTAACAACATTGCCTCTCCTTTTTCTAGAATATATCTCATATTATCTTTTCCCTGACTCCCCACCCTCATCCAGCCACCTTTCCTCAGACTGCAGGTTGCTCTGCAATGTCCCAGTCCCTTCACTGCCTCCCTCTGTTATTTACCTCTGCACACAGCCAGGACTCCTCCTTGCCCTCTTTATTTGCACCAAATTTCTCACCTTGGGGACTTCCACCACCCCTATCACGCAGACTCTGGATCATTGTCACTCAGATCATCCACTTTTTCCGTTGTCACTCTGTGGCTTCTCAGACTCACTGAAGAAAGCGATCTCATAGCCTTGATGATCGGTCATGAGATTCTCCCCACTGTTGCACCGTTCCAGCTGCACCACTGTCCTTCTAAATTCTAGCTCATTGTTTAACACGTGTCTCATCTCTAGGCTTCGTGGCCATATGCAGAGAAGTAGTTGAGCTTTGGTGTCACAATCCTGGGTTCAAAACCCACTTTACTTCTTACTCACAGCTGTGTGGTCTTGGTCAAGTTATTTAGCTTCTCAGAACTTTAGATTCCTCCTTTAAACAGATTTAACAAAACAAGTTTAATAAAACTTTTATGGGCTGGGTCAAGTGGCTTACCCCTGTAATCCTAGCATTTTAGAAGGCCGAGGTGGGTGGATCACTTGAGGTCAGGAGTTTGAGACCAGTCTAGGCAACATGGTGAAACCCCATCTCTACTAAAAATACAAAAAATGGTGGGCACCTGTAATCCCAGCTACTCAGGAGGCTGAAGCAGGAGAATTGCTTGAACCTGGGCGGAAGAGGTTGCAGTGAGCCAAGTTCACACACTACACTCCAACCTGGGTGACAGAGCAAGATGCTGTCTTAAAAAAAAAAAAAGAAAAGAAAAAAAAAAAAAAAAAAACAAAACTTGTTCACCTGTGTAAGTTTGAATGAGATTGGTTGTGCAATGCTTAGTATTGAGAGTAGTCTGATAATAAAGGATCAAGAAATGTAGATTAATTCCCTCTTTTCTCTCCAGCAGATGCTACATTCATATAAAAACCAGGTCCCAGGGCACATTATCACAGTCTTTTCAGAGGAAGCCAGGCCAAGCCCTGGCTCTGAATACCTTGGGATCACCAGTGCCAGAGGAGAAGGTGGTCAGGTGAGCTTCTTCCTTAATGTAGTAACCTTGCTCTCTGGAGTGGTGTCTTATCTGAAATCACAACAACTCATTTTGCAGCCTCATAAATTCAAGGAACACTGCTAGATTTGCCTCTTCCTTTGTCCAAAGCCAAAGTTCATGTTGTATTTAATGAGGAGTAAAGTGGGACCAGGAATAAGCAACCTGCAAGATATATGTGTAACAACTAGTAGATACATTACAGTATAATTCTACTGTCTGGAGAAGAAAATAGCAGTAGGACCATGCCAGTCACCACAAAAGGAAAAGTAATTAAAGGCATTGACTAGAAAATGATTTCAATGTAATCAGGTTGCTCATGATGCACAGGGCAGAAACATTAATTTAAGGGACTTTTGTCCATTTCTGCTGGGTAGATGTCAAAGACAAAATACAATTAAAACAATGTAGGCAGCCTTTTATGATAGTTACATAGTCAACTCTAAATTACTTTTGAATGCATGCAGAGACAAGATTGAAGAGAAAGCTTGAAAATAGTTTGCATTAAGCGAGTAATTATTTAGTACCTACTATATACCTTGAGTAAGTTCTGGGTTAGAGCATACAAGGATGCTGAAGGAAAACCCCATGGAAGCTCCCAGCGGATGTCCTTGAGCTTACTTGCTGCCACAGTCAGAAGATGTTTGGGACCAGGGAAAACCCATGGACACCTGGGAGACACTGGTGAAAGTTTTTTTTTTGTAAGATGGAGTCTCATTCTGTTGTCCAGGTGGCATCTCCACTCTCTGCAACCTCCACCACCTGAGTTCAAGCAATTGCCCTGCCTCAGCCTCCCGAGTAGCTGGGATTACAGGTGCATGCCACCACACTGGCTAATATTTGTATTTTTAGTAGAGATGGGGTTTCATCATGTTGGTCAGGCTGGTCTTGAACTTCTGATCTCAAGTGATCTGCCTGCCTCAGCCTCCCAAAGTGCTGGGATTATAAAGGCATGAGCCATTGCGCCCAGCCTGGTGAAAGGTTTTGAATTGGTTTCAGACTAGAGGGTGATCTTTGTTTCTTTAAGGAGCTAACAAGGAAGCTCAAATACCCCTTATACCTGTGGCACAGTTTTAAGAAACACACTTTCAGGTAACTTTGAATTTAAAGGGCATATACAGAGTGTTTCCTTGAGCATTTTAGCCTTAATAAAGCCAGAGAATGTATTAATAGTTGATAAAGTATAGTGAAGGAAGAATATAACATTGATGATGACAATGATGACAGTGTGAACATAACAAGTTTCATTTATTGAGCTCTCATCACATGCCAGACATTTGGCTACATACATTTCTGAGAACAATTCATTCAATCCTTACAACACAGTTTTAGATTCTTGGACCCTCAGTGTCTTCAGCCATAACTTCTCCCTTAATTTCGTGTGATGGCTAATTTCATGTGTCAACTTGCCTGAGCTAAGGGATGCCCAGATAGCTGAGAAAATATTATTTCTGTGTTGTCTGTGAGGGGTTTCCCAAAGAAATTAACATTTGAATCAGTCAGTTAAAGAGTCACCCTCACCAATGTGGGCAGACATCACCCAATACTTTGAGGCTCTGAATAGAATGAAAAGGCAGAGGAAGGGCAAATTTGCTCTATTTGAGCTGGGAATCCACCTTCTTGTGTCTCAAGAACCAAGGACATCAGAGTTCCTGGTTCTTGCGGCTTTGGATGTAGCCTGATATACCATTGGCTTCTCTGGTTCTCAGGCCTGTGGACTTGGACTGAACTACACCACTGGCTTTTTTGCTTCTCCGGCTTGAAGATGGCATATGATGGGACTTTTTGACTTCCAGAGTTGCATGAGACAATTTCCATAATAAACCTCTCTCTGTCTCATATGTACGTATGTGTATATACATTCCATTTTCCTGTTTTTCTGGAGAACCCTGACTAATTAGACGCTTCATTAGACCTCTGTTTTCCCATCTGAAAAGTGAAGACAGTAATTTTTACCTCTAGAGTTGTTGCAAAGATTCCATGAGACAATGGATCCAAAGCCCATAGCACAGCATCTGTTACTGACTAAGCATTCACTAGAAACTGTATTTATGTTTGTGACTATTATAGGAAAATGTCTTTAGGTGTGTGTCCAAGGGCTGTATTCAGCTATGTCTCTCATGCCTCCCTGAAGGCTGTGGCATGGCCAGGTGGCTTCCAATCTGTACTCAATTGCTACTGTACAGACTTTGTTTATTAGTGGCAGTCCCTTAGGTACTAAGGCGAATAGGCCACTACTTAGAAGAATCTCATGTTTTGTGATCCCCACTAACGTTTACTACCCTATGAGAGTGGGTAATGCTTTGGGCCTGAGGGAAGCCCACAATGCTTTTAGAAGTCCCAGTATTCTGATACCTTTCCAGCCTTCTCCTGCTTTCACTGTTCTCAGCCCCTTGGCAACCCACATCCCCAAAACAAGTGGAGGGAAATTTTCTGATGCATTTCCGTATTAGTGTTTTCTGGAGAAACAGAACCAACAGGATGTATATATGTAGAAAGAGATTTATTTCAATAAATCAGTTCATGCAATTACGGAGGCTGAGTAGTCGCAATGTCTGCAGGGTGAGTTGGTAGGCTGGAGACCTAGGGGAGCTGATGATTTGGTTCCTGTCTGAATCTAAAGGCCTGAGAACGAGGAGAGCCTGTGTTGTGGCACCAATCCAAAGGCCGTCAGGCTCAAGACTCAGGAAGAGCCTGTGGCAGTGTGAATCTGAAGGCAGAAAAAAACCCATGTCAGTCAAAAGGCAATCAGGCAGGAGAGATTCCTTCCTACTTGGGGAAGAGTCAGCTTTTTTGTTCTATTTAGACCTTTAGTTGATTGGATGAGGCCCACTGACACTAGGGAGGGCAATTGCTTTACTTAGTCCATTGGTTTAAATGTTAATCTCATCCAAAGCACTTTCACAGAAACACCAGGAAAAATACTTAACAAAATAGCAAGTACCCCATGGCCCAGTCAGTTTGCCAAATAAAAGTAACCATCATAATTTTGGTTCTCATCAATCTTGAAGCCCCCTTCCTCATCCTCCAGTAAACTGGCATTTTGTCCAAAGCTTCTAAGTTATTTAAAGTTTTACACACCAGCGAGGGTGAGTTTTTAATCTAAGGGGTAGGAAGGGAAGAATAGGGTGAGGAGGGAATAGCAGAAGTAATTAGAAGTAATTGTCATAATTGCTTCTTGTTAAACCCAGCTAATTGGTAGAAAGTAACAAGGAGAAGGCCATCATGCAAATATATGGCCACTCTGTTCAGCTCCAGATGAAGATATCAGAGCAGAGAATGGGAACATTTCTATAAGCCAGTTACATGACGATCTTTTCATTATCCTTCCTTATCAGTAACCCTCGGCCTCTTGCAGCTTCAGACTTATACAATCTTGTTAATTTTTCCAACCTGCTCCAAATCCAATTCAATATATTCTGGGTCATGCCTGATCCTTAAGCTATGCTACTTCCTCTCTGTCTTCCAATGATTACCACCCTTTAATGCACGGTTCAAATTCTGTCTTCCCCCTGATGCATTCTGTGACTATTCCAGTCCTTAGTCTTCCATTTTCTCTGTATTCTTTTCTTCTTGCCTTTTTCTGTACACTGACAGCTGCCTATATGACCTATGTTACTAGTGGATGCTTTACCTGGTTATTTCCCCATCAGGAGAGTAAAAAACTTTACAACAAAGCTCTGTTTCTTGTGTACCTTCTTCAGCACCAAGAACAGTCCCAGGAATAGAGTGGCTAATAGATACTTATGAATAATGAGTGACTCTAACACGTAAGCCAAATCATATCATTCCTCTGGGAAAAACTCTCTAATGACTTCTCATCTTGTAAGAAGAGCTGAAGGTCTATAATAGACAACACAAGACAGCTTGATTGGATCCAGTGTCTCTTCTCTTCTTGTCTCCATAATTCTCCGTCTTGCTCACTGGAGCGTCACCTAAATTGTCTTCCAGGAAGACCTTTCAAGTGTAAGGGTTTCCAGGTACTGTAAAGGCAAATACAAATAAAAACAAGATGCTGGGCATGGTGGCTCATGCCTGTAATCCCAGCACTTTGGGAGGCTAAGGCTGGTGGATCACCTGAGGTCAGGAGTTCAAGACCAGCCTGGCCAACATGGGGAAACCCCATCTCTACTAAAAATACAAAAAATTAGCTGGGTGTGGTGGTGGGTGCCTGTAGTCCCAGCTACTTGGGAGGCTGAGGCAGGAGAATTGCCTGAACTCAGGAGGCGGAGGTTGCAGTGAGTGGAGATCCTGCCATTGCACTCCAGCCTGGGCAACAAGAGCAAGATTCCATCTCCAAAAAAAAAAAAAAAAAAAAAAAAAAAAAAAGAAGCGTCAAAGATACCTCCTTTTTCTTAGAGCATTTACTTTAGAAAACTTGCCATTGTAAATTCTCTGTTACTTTGCAGGTGTCTTAATCTCAAACTACCTTCTATTATTGGGATATAAGAAGTTTATTGTTTCCTTTGAATAAAGCCAATTGGAAAACACAGATGGTCACTGCAATTACCCAATGAATCTAGGATGAGCCGCATGTGACAAACGGTGCTGCCAAGTCTCTTATGGAGGCATAGGTGTTGTTTATCTTGAGAACATGTATGTAACGGGCTGTATCTGCTTGGCTATATAAAAAGGTGAGACTTCTTTCTGTCTTCACAATTTCTCCGTGGGTCACCTGAGATGTTCACCACATTCTGATTCAATGTTTATTCAATAATGAAATTGTTTTCTTCCACTTCTTCCTCTGAGGGAAGTTTTCTGGGCTTCATTCTTCAAAAAAGAAAATATCATATTTAAGTACTTTTAATTTTACATATATTTATAAGTTATAGTTTAAGTTTTCCTTAGAGAACAGGAGATGGAAAAAACCTCTTTGCTGATTGTGTTAGGAATTTAGTGAGGCAGAGAGGGCTGCCTGCCTGCCTGTGGCTGTGGAGTCAGATGGGTAGAGCCGATACTCAGATGTTAATCTCTTTAGGAGAGTACTTTTTAAAAAGAAGAAGATTACAAAGATGAAAAATATGGTACTACTTTGCAAAAATCACACCCACAACTCTTGCCCCTAATGGTATTTCCTATGTGAACACTGCATAAAGAAAAAAGTCTAGCAGTCAGATCTAAGAGCCATCAAAAGTTTCATAAACAGCGTTGAATAAAAGGGTAGTAACGTGTAATGAAACAAAATTTTGCCATTTGTTTTTTTTCTCTCTCTTAAAAAATAAATGTGACCCTGTTGTGCTGTTAGCTCCATTTTGTTGGATTTATACAGTAGGTGTTCTTCTTCTATTACTTCACTAACTTAAATAGCAAAGATAAAGGGGCAGAAGTCATGGGATTGGGAAGGGCAGTTCATATTTACAGTTGTACCTCTAGATCTGAGCATAGCCCCTGGGATGCATTAGTTGGACATTAAATATTTGTGAAATGAATACATTAAGAATCAGATATTGTGAAGGGGCTGTAATGAAAAAACAATTTTAGGTGACAAAATTGGAGCTGATTGCTGCTCTGATGTCTGATTATAGAGCTTTAACTATGATGGTCAAAGCAAGAGGGCTTTGAAGACAGCCTAATCATCCTGTGGAATCCAAACTGCACAGAAATCCAATGAAAATAGCTTTAATTAGTGTCAGGAATTGTCCTATAGCTTTAGGAAGAATGAGATGCTTTCCATGCAATTAAATCTACACCATGAGAAGGCTTAACATGAAAGCTGTATTTTTTTTTTTTTTTTTTGAGATGGGGTCTCACTTTGTTGCCTAGGCTGGGTGCAGTGGCATGATCTCAGCTCACTGTCACCTTTTCTATTTTATTGTGGTAAGAACACTTGACATGAACTCTACCCTCCTAACAACTTTCTGAGTCAGCAATACATTATTGTCAACTACAGGTGCCACACTGCATAGCTGACCTCTAGCGCCTGATCACCTTGCTTGACTGAAACTTTATGCCCCTTGGTCAGTAACTCCCCATTTCCCACTTCAAGCCATTCTCCTGCCTCAGCCTTCCGAGTGTGTGGGATTACAGGTGCCTGCCACTGCGCCCAGCTAATTTTTTTATTTTTAGTAGGGACTGGGTTTCACTGTGTTGGCCAGGCTGGTCTGGAACTCCTGACCTTGTGATCCACCCGCCTCAGCCTCCCAAAGTGCTGGGATTACAAGTGTGAGCCTCCGCACCCAGCCCAACTCTTTTATTTCAATAAACTAATTTTAATAGTAGAGTAACTTTGGTTTTAAAAAATTTTTTTTCTATTTTATTGTGATAAGAACATTTGACATGAGATCTACCCTCCTAACAACTTTCTGAGTCAACAATACATTATTGTCAACTACAGGTACCACACTGTGTAGCTGATCTCTAGAGCCTGTTCACCTTGCTTGACTGAAACTTCATGCCCCTTGGTCAGTAACTCCCCATTTCCCCCTTCACCCAGCCCCCAGTAACTGACATTCTACTCTTTGATTCTACAAATTTGACTCTTTTAGATACCTCATATAAAGTGAAATTGTGCAATATTTGTATTTCTGTGGCTGGTATGTTTCACTTGGCTTCATTTCTATTGATTCGTTTCACAGAACGAGACCCAAGCTTCCAGGGTTGTGTGTGTGCATTCGCTGTTGAATATTCTGTGCTCATGAGAATGCCCGGCACGTATAAGGCAGACAAGAATATTTGTGGATTAAGAAACTTGCCTATTGGTGTTGTAATATAAAATCAGTTTTAATCTGTCTGGTGATTATCTAAAATGTCATCTAATTTTGGGATAATGGTGTTCTTTTATAGCTCTCCACCCTCTTCTCGCCCCATTTCCTCTTATACACACACGTACACACTCTGGTCAAACATCTCTCACCTTAGGTGTAATTTATTTTTGTCCCAGCAGCTGACAAAAAACCTCAACAGTGGCACTTCGTATATATACCCTTAGAGAGTCAAGCAGAGTGCTTTGCATTTTGTCAAGAAACATAGATGAAAAATTATTTGCTTTTAAGGCAAGCTACAGAGTGGGAAACAAAATTTGCCACATAACTTGCACACTTGGACTTCACCATAAACAACCTAATGTCTATCAACATTATAATGGAAAAATAAATTGCAGCATATTCTTACAGTGGAATATAATACAGCAATGAAAATGGCCAAACTGGCGCTATAGGCAACAACCTGGCTGAACCTCACAATCATAATGTGGAGTGAAAGACCCCAGGCATAATAGAATAAACACAGTATGAGCCCATTTATTTAAGTTTTTGGAGAAGAAAAATAAATTATAGGGTTAGAAGTCAGGATAGTAGTTACTTTTGGGAAGATAGTATTCATGGGGAGGCTTGAGGGTGGCTTCTGAGGTGCTGGCAATTTTCCATGTTTTGATTTGGGGGTGGTTATATGGAGGCTCTTTCTAAGTTATTAAACTTATGTTGTGTGTATTTTTCAGCATGTTTGTTATGTTCCAATTTAAAATAGTTTAAAAATTGACAATATTCCATGATTTGAAAAGTGCCATCTAGGAGCAGATAATTCAGATGGTTCAAACTTTTTTTGAGGACCTACTATGTATTCCATGCTGGTGGCTAGGACATATGGAGATTTTAAATGAATAAACACATTGCTTTTGGTGTCAAGAAACTCAAAATACAACATCCCTTAATAGAGGCATAGGTGGAGAAGGGAGGTCTGAGAAGGCGTGGTGAGTTTCTGTTTCAAAATTTAGGAGATCAGGGAAATTTCTCCTAATGTGTCTAAGCCCCAACTTTAGGATATATACATGTCATTAATATTATTAGTCACAAATCTAATCATATCTGAAAGAATAAGACCTAAAAACAGTTAAACAGTAACCACAAAGAAAATCAAGTAAAAAACATGAATTAAGAAACTTGCTTACCTGTGGGTTTCTCTCTTTGGCTTATGTAGGAAGGGCATTTTGCTCAACGGACCCTGAGTATATTTGCGGAGTGTGCTGTGGGTGATATGAGAAGGAGATGTCTATGATGAATAGAGAAAACAAATCCAGCTCAATTTTGACGAAACTTCAAAGGGAATTTTGATGCCTAATAATTCTTCTAGATGATTTTTGAAAATTATATAACAGGCTAAATTATTCTTTGGAAATAGTGAGAAAATGTTATGCTGATAGGAAGATGCAAATATACTAACAAAAATGTTGTTTGCCATTCCTTTAATTAATTGATCTATTCTATTAAAATGCTTTGGGTAAGTAAATATATACAGTTAATAATATTGTTTGTGTTTCTCAAAGATATTTTAGTTAGGCAACAGTATTCTTGATTTTGTATGAAGTCTTCAGCATTTCAATAGCGTTGTCTGATGTGCTTGGGATAGCTGATAGATATCAAACATTCCTCATGCAAATGAATATGTCTGAAAAATGTATATGGAAAAACAATGACTTGAGAACTGAGAGTTACTCATGAGGGTGATAAACAGTGATCAGCACAAATCTTTGCCAGGCAGTTGCTTTTATAACCCCATTGGCAGCTAGTACCTTCTATTTGACAGAAATAATATACCACATATGAACCTCTCGGTAAATTCAACTTTCCCCAAATGCCTGCTGAGATTTATCTTGCACAGAATGGATTAAACTTTCAAGGCTTAGAAAAAAAAATGTACATTCATCCTCAACTCACCAGCTAAATAGAAAGCCAAGCTCATGTCTTACATGAAAGGAAGCCTTTAAGAATCATTCTGATGACAGAGAGAGAGATGACATTCTATACCACCCATGATGCCAGGTCCAGAGGCTTTAAAAACACTTGCTTGCGCTGGAACCTAATTAGCACTAATCCTGTGTGGCAAAATAAGCTGGGGTATCATGAGGCTTAGAATATTTGTTAAGAATAATTTTTCATTGTTTAAAATTAGTATTTTTTTATTTTATTTTATTTTTTGAGAGAGATCTTACTCTGTCACTTAGGCTGGAGTGCAGTAGCATGATCTTGGCTCACTGCAACCTCTGCCTCCTGGGCTCAAGTGACTCTCATGCCTCAGCCTCCCGAGTAGCTGGGGCTATAGGCACATACCACCATGCTCGGCTAATTTTTGTATTTTTGGGAGAGACAGGGTTTCACCTTGTTGCCTAGACTGGTCTTGAACCCCTGATCTCAAGCAATTCACCTGCTTCAGCCTCAAAAAATGCTAGGATTATAGGTGTGAGCCACTGTACCCAGCCAAAATTAGTATTTTTTTAAATGAAACTTTGGGTGACTACTATCTGGAAGGCGCTTGGAAGTAGTAAAACAAAACAAAATTTCTGTGCATTTTATAAATGCCCCTGTTTTTTTGGCTATTTTCTTATCTATTATTAGTTGTCTATAAATGATAAATATCTGTAAATAAAGAAGTAAGCTTTTGCTAGTTCCTCTATAATGTCTAATTTGTTTTGTAGGTAATTTGAAAGAGTTGAATCTCAGTTGACTTTAGATCAAGAAATATTTGAGTTTATGAGTTGGAATAATGTTTTGGTATTAGTCAGGATAATATAGCCTATGCTGCAGTAACAAGAAGACCCTCAAATCTTAGGCTTAGTCCAATAAAGTTATTTATGACTCTTGTCTAAGTCTTACTCAGTGAGTCAGTTCTCCTTGGAGCTCTCCTATAGTGACTCCGGGATCTGGGCTGCTATGTCTTATACCTCTGTTATCTCGTTGTTCCAGCTACACCTAAAAGGAGAGAACAGAACATGGAGAAAACATACCTGCCTTTGACTGCTCTGGATGAGATGAAACACATCAGTTCTGCTCCCATTCTCATTGGCAAGTATTCAATCTTACGTCTCTGTGTGCCCCAAAAGGGGAGAATTGGTGGTCCTTCCATAGTTACTTTTCTCAACCAGAACTGGATTGTTTTGCCTATCTTAGGGACCCCTTGCTCCATTGCTCTTTGAAATTTATTGTAGCTCAAGCACACATATGATAGAGATGTGGAAAGATCAGGTGTAAATTTTCCACACTTGACATAGAAACTTTTTCTAGGCTGACACACCTTTTTGTCACTCTAAATGGTATGAGCTGCTTTATTGGAACTCCAAGTCTTTTTTTTTTTTTTTTTGGGACGGAGTCTTCCTCTGTCACCAGGCTGAAGTGCAGTGATGCAACCTTGGCTCACTTCAATCTCTGCATCCCAGTTCAAGTGATTCTCCTGTCTCAGCCTTCCGAGTAGCTGGGATTACAGGCATGCACCACCATGCCAGACTAAATTTTGTGTTTTTAGTAGAGACAAGGTTTCACTATGTTGGCCAGGATGGTCTCAATCTCCTAACCTTGTGATCTGCCTGCCTTGGACTCCCAAAGTGCTGGAATTACAGGTGTGAGCAACTGTGCTCAGCCTGGAACTCCAAGGCTTAAATAAATATCCAAATTCATATATCTATGTACCTTCATATCATTATATGTTATAGGTATTAAATCTACAAAATATTTAAATTTTAAATCTTATAAACATAACAAAGAGATGTTTATGTTTTCAATATCTTGGGTTTTTAAAAATAAATATATAGAGAGAGCACTGAATCCCTCATTAAATGGATGAATTTCTTCAGGAGTAGCCTTGCCAAATGGTTTTGGGTACATAAAGGTAGGAACTGAAGCTTATCTAATAATTATCAATTTATTTCTTTAGTCAGCACCTTGCTTGGGGTCTTCCTATGTCTTAGCAATTATGATTAAAAGCATTCAAAGACGTATAATAGCACAAAGTCTCTTTTTTTCCTTATTCCCATGTCTATCTATGCAGCTAAGTCTGTACCATCCTCTTTCTCCACCCGGCGTTAACCATCTGTGCGCGCGCGCGCATGCGCGCGCACGCACACACACACACACACACACACACACACTCACACACACACACACACACACACACTCCACTTACATAATAGCATTTTGACAGATTAGGACTTTAACTGAAGTTTCAGGGTGGGAGGGGCACAGAGTGATGGAAAAATGATCAGATAAGGTCAATACCTCCACCATCTTGTCTTGGAGCCGATTCCTACCAGCCTAGCTTTGCCCAAACTCATACATTCATTATGTGGATCTTTAAGTAAGTGATTCTGTTTCTGGATCTCATTGGGAAAAATGCCTTTCTGCTCTTTTCCTTAGGACTCCTGAAATTTTGGAAAACAGATTTTTCTCCATTTTGTCGTACTTTATATCTTTCATGCTTCCTAATAAGCTTTCAGGTGATTTACAGTAAAACAAAGTATCACATTAAAACCATCAAGCATTAGAGACAAAGGACAAGAAGCCAACTCTGCCAGATAACCCAGGCTAAGGGAAAACTGCAATTCAGTTTAAAAAACCCTAGCTCCAAGCTTCCTGGATGCCAAGGTCATGAAGGAAACTCATTCATCTTGATTTTACTTGATTGCTTGCTTTTTTTGTTTGTTTGTTTGCTATGACTCTTCTTAATTTCGGCTGTGTTACCCAATGTTTGGCCCAGCTTTGTGTCACTTATCTCTTTAATGTACATTGCTTCTGTGCTTTTGTTCGTTGACCCAAGTCAGTTTGGGTAAATTCATTAATACCATCTCATTGGCCCAAGTCACTGAAAGAAACACTGACAAAACAGGGCAAAATATAGCTTTACAGTATGTTTTCAGAATAACTTTCAATGTTATTCATTCATTCATCCTTTCACATATTTGCAAACACTGGCATGTCTTGGGCACTGCACAAAGTATATGGGAAGTGGTAGTTGGTACCCCTGCTCCTAAGTAGATTGTAATCTACAGAAGGTGAAGCTTGAGAAGTTTAGCAATTTAACCTGACTTTAAACAGAGACCCAGTCAAATTACAGAGCTGGAATTTGAAACCAAATCAGTCTTCACCGAAACCCATGTTGTTAGTTTTTATCCTCTACTTTCTTTGTGATAGGTGGAATTTCTGCAGTGGCCTCCACAAAAATGCCCTGCCCTGATTCCTGGGAACTGGGAATAGGATGAGATAGCACTCTCATGACTGTGTTAGGTTACATGGTACACTTGACCTTGCAATGATCCGGCTAGGTCTGATCTAATCACATGAGTTCTTAAAAGCAGAGAATTTTCTCTACTGATAGCAGAAGAAGTCAGAGATTCGAAGCATGAAGGAGATTCAACACATTGTTGCTGACTTTGACGATGAAATGGCCCCATATGAAGGGATGCAGGTGCTGCTTAGAAGCAGAGAGATGCTCCTACCTAACAGCCAGCAAGTAAATGGGGACTGCAGACCTACATCCACAAAGAGCTGAATTCTGTCAACAAATTGAACGAGCTTAGAATTAGATTCTTCTCCAGAACCTCCAGATAAAAGCCCAGCCTGGCTGATGCCTTGACTTTGGTTTTGTGAAATCATAAGTAGAGAACCCAGCCAGGCTTACTGAATTTCTGACCTACAGAGCCGTGAGATAAGAAAATGTGTTGTTTTAAGCTGCTAAATTTTGAGTAATTTCTTTTACAGCAATAGAAATCTAATATGTCCTCTCAGATTAAAAAGAAACCACCAGTTCCCTCTCATTGGGCAATTAATGAATCAAAATAGCTGGATTTCTTATCTTCTACCCATTTCCCCCAGATATTCCTAGGGTTACCATGAGAAAATTCCATGGGATCCAATTTCAACTGCACTTCTGATTCACTGTTTGAATGACCCTTCAAGCTCAGTCAGGTATTCTAGTAACCATTTCTCTTTGGGGAGTCAGGAATGGTCATTGACCAGTTGGGAAACCAAAGCTCAGAGGAAACTTACGTAAGGTCATGTAGAAAATTGGAGGTAGACCTGGGTTGTTTAAATGTTTTTTATTTATTTTAAAATATCTTCTTTGTTTAGGAAGCAGAGGACTACTCTTTTGCGCAAGATAATTCTGAAGGTAAATTTAATGTCTCATGCAGTTGTGACACTTATGTAGGGAAATATTTTATAGTTTGCATTTCTACTCTCGTTTTTGGGCATATTTTAGTATCAGAGCCTCTTGGGTTTTGCCAGTGAAACATCTTTTTGTGACCTCAATTATATGCTGTTGATTTGTTTAAGCCATGCTATTTCCACCTCAGTAGTGATCTAACTTGTTGGCATTGGATAGACCCTCGCATTCACTGTTATGTGAATAGACACTTAAAACCATTTTGATGTAGTAAAAGAAAGTAACTAAATTTAGGTTACTAAAGAAAACTCCTGCTGAAATTTTTGACCCTGAGCTCCAAAGAGCATAGTATAAATGCTAGGTAAACTATTTTAGTCCTTTGTTCTGTAAATGAGTTCCTTTCTTTCTTCCATTGACTACTTTTTGGCACAGCTTCTGTTTTTAGAGCCAAAAAAAAGATGGGAACTGAAAATAAAGAAACAAAATCTTATCTGAAACACCTGAGCCTGTGAATCACGGTCTGCCTCCTGCATAGCCTGTGTGTAGCTGCTAAGTAATTTATGAATGAGGAAGCATAGACCAGATATGGCATCAACAAAAAAAACTAAGACTGATGGATTCTATTTCTAGTTCCAAACTGATGATGAAATGACTTCAGATAAGTCACTTTAACTCCTTTTTGGGGCTCTACTTGTAAAATAGGAAGAAACTCCTCATTTTTCTTGACAACGATATAAATACCTACTTAGCTTCTCACCTTTGTAGACTTCTCATTTAAGGCTTGATTGTCTTAATCTCTTCCTTTAGGCCAGGCTTGGTGGCTCAAGCCTGTAATCTCAGCATGCTGTAAGGCCAAGGTGGGTGGATCACCTGAGGTCGGGAATTTGAGACCAGCCTGACCAACATGGAGAAACCCTGTCCCTACTAAAAATACAAAATTAGCAGGGTGTGGTGGTGCATGCCTGTAATCCCAGCTACTTGGGAGGCTGAGGCAGGAGAATAGATTGAACCCGGGAGGCAGAGGTTGTGGTGAGCCAAGATCATGCCATTGCACTCCAGCCTGGGCCACAAGAGTGAAACTCTGTCTCAAAAAACAAAAAAAAAAAACCCCAAAAAAACCTTCTTTAATATTCAACCCTGTACAACAGCAATGGGATCCATGCTTTCCTTTGTGACAAAGGAACTCAGGACAATAATTCAAATGATTCAGCCTTAGTGCTGACCCCTGGTTGGGTTCTAGCTTTGTTCTGTGTGATCCATCCCTTTCCTCTGACCTCCTTCCAGTAACTGGATCCTCAGATTGTTTTATTACATCTGAGCCTCTCCTCTGGTTTTTGATCTGCCATGCCACTCCCTCTGAGACTAAGGTTCTGCAACAGACCATTTTTGTCCCTCCTGTCATATTTCAGCCCGAGTATCCAGTCTAGTTAAGTTCCAGCTCTTTTTGTCCATCTATCCCACTACTTCTTGAAAGACAACCCTTGAAGACCATTCTTTAAAAATTTTAAACATTGAAGAAACCTGCCCCCCAAATACTTGTAAAATGTCCATAAAATATAGAGAATAATGATACAACAAACATCTAGAGTATCATACCTGGTTACCACCACTACCGCTACCAAAAAAAAAAAAAAATTATCATTACCGTTGAAGTCCATGTCCCGTTCCTTTTTCTCTCTACTGAGACAAAACCACCCTGGCTGAATTAACTTGTGTTTATTTCTCTCTCTCTCTTTTTTTATTTTAGTTTTGCCAGACGGTATTTCCCTAAGTAACATATTATTTAATGTTGCATATTTTTGAACTTTATATACATAAAATTATAGGATATGTATTATGATATTTGCTTTTTTTGTCAACATTATGTCTCTGAATATTCATCCATGTTTTTACATTTACCTGTAATGTATTCATTGTCACAAGAAGGCAGTCTTTTCATTGCATGACTCTCACATAGTTTATTATCTCTGCTGTCCTTGATGAACATTTGGATTTTTCCTATTTTTATTATGAAAAGGACCGCTATGAATATACACTTGTCTTCTAGAAGAAGCACTTGCTGGTTGATACAGTCTTCAAAGAGGCTTGTCTCAATTTATAATCCCACCAGAAGGATAATTCCATATCCTTGCCAACTTTAGATTTTGACAGGCTCTTTAATTTTTGACAGTCTGGAAGTCATAATATAGTATCTAAT